GGACGGAAATAGAAGGGAAGGAAAGGAATGGGAAAGTACGGGAAAAATAGGAGAAACGTCAGGAAAAAATCGGAAGCACGAACGATGTGGACGCAAGGGAGCGGACGGAAAATTAATGAAAGCGGTAGGTTGGCGTGAGGGCGGTGGATGGGACTGAGCGTTTGGACTCAAGGGAGTGGACCGAAATGGAAGGGAATAGGGCAGGTACGCATGAGCGAGACAGGTGGGGATAAGCCGGGGAACGTGGGTGAGGACTGCGTGGAAGCAAGGGAGTAAATGTCCTTCCAATAAAACCTCACTTTACCGGCTCTTCACTTTGTTCATCCCGCGGTTCTTTCTACCGGTGTCTCATTCCTTCCCACTCCACTCGGTTCCCCTTGTCGGTTCGGCACGTGAAGGGAAGAGAAAGATTAAAACTGAACCGACGAAGGGAAAGGGGAACCGCTGGTTACGCCTGACAGCCGGCCACCAGTCAACACGGGAGGGACGGGGATGGAAAAGGAGAGGGTGTCTTTGTTGGGGCCACGTGGGGCCTCATTAGGGCTTGTTGAGATCATTTTGGGTCAATTTGCGAACATATTGGGGCCCCAGTCTTCTAGTGGATTTGGTGTTTATACAAATGCTTTCCGGCTCGTGGATTTATCAGTTTTTTTTTGCTCGCCCGCTGCGTTATTTGCCTTCATCGATTTCCTTCGCGCTTCACTGTCCGGGCCCCAAAAGTGTAGAGAAGAGCCAAAATCATACTACCAGATACTACCAGTGTATTAGCAGATATGTGCAGTGCAGTGTAGGTGTCATTCCAAATGTTTGACTGAGTGTGCCCTAGTTTGCGCTGACTCTCATACCGAATTTGACATAACACAGGCTCAACATTCAACCTTGGCAGGTAGCCTTAGGCAGGTAGTCGGCAACGCTTTCAAAACTTGCAAGCGCTGGTAGGCTGAGATGCACTTCCCTCGTTGCCTTTGCTTCTGGTTGCTTTGCAATTCCTGGTGTGGATTGGCAGTTTTGAATGAAGACAGGCAGCTCAGTGAAAGACGGGGACAATGCGACCTCAGTCAACGTTTCAAGTGCAGAGACTGGCCAAAAGGATGATAAGAAACACGACATGGAAATTGAGACGCAGCTGAACAACTTCATGCAGCCACACTCGTTGCAACCTTTCTACTTCATTCCAATCAGTAGCTGCGTCATCGTCGTGTTGCAGTTCTCCATCTTCGGTTTCTCTATAAAGTTCAAACCCGCTGAAGCGGAGTGTTGCATCTACAAGAAGTGTGTCAACCGCCTGAAGTCCCTTGCAAAGGAATTAGGCACGATAGCTTTCATCTTACTGGCTTTAGTCACTTGGAGACATGATGTTCTCAAGTGGAAAGCGATGCCTGCTGAAGACCAACTGGAGACATTCTGCTACTTCTTGGTGGTCTTGGTGACCTCCCCCAACACCAAAGCAGCACTGGCACATTTTGCGATCTTGCGCGTCCAGTCACCTACAGCTGTATTTGGGGTCAATCCCAAGTACAGAAGCCTGCCAGGTTGCGGCATACCTGTCTTCCCCTGCACAGCCAGCTGGATGACACCATTGCAGTGGTTGTACACGATGATTCTGTTGCCCTATGAAATACTTTGGATGATTCATTCGTGGTTCACGCGAATGCTTCCGGACTGTTGCACCCCCGGACTCTTGCCAGTTATAGGCGCCGCGGTCAAGCCCGTGGGAACATGGTTTCTGTGCGTGGGACCAATTTTCATCTTTCCATTTTGGCTCTTGCTCGTCGCGATGAGCCTGGGGCTTTGGAGTTATGCCCGTAGCAAGCTGATTTGGTGGTGGGGGATGAGTTGGCCATTTTGGGCCATGATTCTACTGCAGTTCTGGGCTGTGTTCGTGTGCATTTTGTTTGCAATCATCTACCTAGTGTACGTGATTTTGACAGGAGGGGTGCAACCGATACACTCAACCAAGAAGAACGCAAAAGATTTACAGGTGGAACAGCAAGCCCTCTGGAATCTACAGCCTCAGGCGGTCCAAGAGGATTTTTTCCTACCAGTTGGACAGAGTGGAGTTGAGACCCAGCAGGGCGAGGCACATGCTTTGGAAGCGCAGCTATCTGTTGCAGAAGACGCACATGCACTAGAAGAACAGCAGATTGTCCCAGACTTGACGACGCTTACAGCAGGTTTGAAGTGTCAGATTGTGTCCGCGGCACTTGCTATCCAGGCCAATTACGCTGTCTTGCAGCTTTTTGTCATTGTCTTCTGCCGACTTCTTCTACACAGTGATTCTGAGAAGAATGCGGTCAATGCCTACAAGACCACGATATCAGAGCGTCACATTGCAACCTGCATGGACTACCTCAACAGCTTGGTCACACAGGCCGATGCTGCTGTTGGGTTCAGCGCCCTTGTGCGCCTCTGGTGCCGCCAAGCATATGCTGCCTGGAACGTCCTTTGAAGCTTCGGCGCAGTTTCCATCAGGTCTCCGGAACAGGTTGATGAGCAGCTTCAGGTGCCCAAGTTTTTCCATGAACAGAAGACGTTCATTTTTTGGGCATGCCGTTGTGTGAAGCATCCCCCGTGTCGTCCCGCAATTGCTGGGCGGACAAATGGGAACTTCACAGTATGGTGAACGGCAGACACTTTTTTTAAGGCTTGCATGCAACCATTATGGAAGGCCCACAAGAGGCTTGCCATTTGCACGCATCAGTTTTCCTTGCAGTAGACGACCTTACTTCTGCAGTTTAGTTGGTAACTTCCTATGGCCTTGATGGCTGATGGAGAAAAAGAGCAGCACTGTGCGCATCTTATGCATGTGCTTTTGAAGTTTGCTTTGACGGTGGGAAGCAAAGTTCATAGTCATAATAGTCAGCATTTGCTTTGAACAAAGCCTGTGATTGAACCACCCTCTTGTGTTGTGTAGCTATTTTAGCACTGAGTTCGTTTCCTTCCCTTTCGCAAGCTACTCGCTCCACGCCAAGGTTATGAAGTCATCACAAGTTTCAAGGTGCATTCCAAGCATCGGCCAAAAGAAAGGATCCGGTTAAAGCAATCCTTGAAAGAATGACCATACCAAAAAGTCTTCAAGACATGATTTTCAGATTTCGGATTTCAGCCTTTTCTTGTGGGGGGAATCCCAACCCCTCGAGGTATATCATATAATTTCGTTCATATCCGACACACACACACAAACACACACGCACACATTCAATCACATTCATATATACACTGTATATATATGTATACTCCAAAAGGGAGAGGTATGCACGAGCGCCTGACACCCTGAAGTTCTGGCTTAAGTTCCCCACCCTTCTTGCTCTCAGGCCCTCCTGTGGGGTAGAGAGCTGAGATTGGTGGGGGATTAAGTGTTGGATTAAATCCTCCCTGGCCTGGCCTCCTAGTGGGGTAGGTCAGGGGGGTAGACTTGTGCGGTGTGTACTGCTCTGGCTCCCCTTGGTGGGGGTAGGGCAGAAATCAGTGTGAGATCGCATTGGAAAGGGTGTAAAGGCCAGGAAGGGGGATTTGAATCCCTAACCCCAGGGGCTTGAGCCCTTGGGTTCCTGAGCCATGGCTGAGATGGAAGCCATCAAGAAAAAGCTCTTAGAAAAGGGGGGCACAGCAGGAGACTGGGGAAGCCTCATCACAAATGGGCTTCAAGCTGAAGATCAGCTATGGACTGAAGGGGGCCGATTAGGTGGTGACGTACTCGCCCAAGCCCGCGCGGTGATGAGCAGAGACGCCATCTTGGAATATGATTGTGTTGATGACCGGGGTCGAGATCAGGGACAGGCTTTGGTACGCCTTCTTGATTGGGAAGACTTTTCTCGTGGGCTCCTACGTGCCGAGCATCTGGTGGCGAGTGATGGGTATTATGAGTGGTATGGTAGCCACGAGCTTGCTGGAGGAAAAGGAGTGTATCATATCTGCTCGAACCCCAGGGGGCAGTGCGCCGAACGTTTAGGGCGTTCAGACAGGCGTCAGCTGATCCACATGCACCGCTGGAGAATGACGAGCCCTTTGGTGATGATGGAAAGTGCCTATGCCAAACCGGCGGCACTGAAGGCCATGGAGAATTGGGTCAACAATTTTCAGGCTCGGGTCCCTAGCCCTAGTCGTCCTCCGGCTCCCCCAGGTGCGGGAGGGGGGAATGACACGACAGGTTTGGACAAGGAGGTGGAGGCAGGAGAGGAGGCAGACGAGCCTGCAAAGAAAAAGGCAGCGGCAGCGGTTAAGAAGGCCCCAGTTGCGGAGGAGGTGAATGAAAAGCCCCCCCGAGGATCGGTTGGAGCTGTGTTGGAAAGAAAGGCCGCTGAACGCCGAGAGACGATGAGGGCGCGAGAAGTTGAAAAGAAGAGAGCCCGGGAAAGGGCCCGAAGCAGGAGCCGAGGAAGGCGGCGAAAAAGGCGCTCAGATCGGACCAGTTCCGGTGGAGTGTCTGGCAGTTGCAGTCGCTCCTCAAAGTCGTCGCAGGGTTTTCGAAGGCCCTCTACCCGGGGGGAGGACGATCTGTGGCGGCAGAGCAAAAGAAACCCCGGGAAGCTGCTCAAGACCACCATGCTGGAGCTGAGTCGCTATTTAGCAGACCGAGCCCCCGGAGCAGAAGAAGAGTCCGACTGGACGAGCCACAGGATGATGGCTTACATATCCCAGGTGGTACTGTGCCAACACCCACCACAAGCGATGGGGGTTCGAAACCATCGAGAGTTGGTGACGCTGGGAAAAGCTATAGATCTGCTACTGAGTGGCCAACTGGGGGAGCTCGGCGATCTGCTGGTGCAGCGCCTGAAGGCCGTAGAGACGGCCGTGGCCGATCAGAATTGGAGCACGGCGCGACACCAAGAGCTCATACCGGCTCAAGCGGCCTCGCTGACAACAGAGCAGGAGAGGAGGAAAGCGGCCCGGATGGAGATCGCCCAAGGGAAGCTCAGAGAGCTAGTGTCGAAGGGGCGAAGGCAGGACAAATAGGGACTAGGCGGCGGGATGAGAGCAGAGCGATCACCCGTGACGCCATGGAGAGAGGAGCTGATGGAGGTGAAGGAGACAGTGCCGAGGAGGCAAGTGGTGCTGGAAGAAACGCCCCACGAGATCAGGAAGGGCGGCCCCCCGAAAGGAAAGGAGGCAGGCTGGAATCGACAAGGAAAAGGGGTGTTGAGGCTGACGCCAAGGAAAGGAAAAGGCAAAGGCCAGGGTCCCCAGGGTCGCTCGTCGAACCAAGGGGATCAGGAGAAGGGAGGAGGAAGCCGGAGGAGGAGCCCGACACCCCGCAGACGATCGAAGAGCAAGAGTCCTTCGAAACCATCGGGTTAGAGGAGGAAGCTGACCACAGCCTGCAAGTGTTGAAGGCCTGGTTGCAGTCGGAAGAGTGTGGAGGCCTTACGATTTCACAATCGGGAGCCTTGCTGGCGTTGACAGCCTTCAGAAGTGGTACGCCGCTGGGTATTTTCCTGGGTCGTATGGTGAGGCCTGGGTCAGACGATGGCGAAGAGAGGTCTAGACAGCGGAGTCTACTACCTCTGCCACTATGGAAGGACTCAAGGGATGCCTTGGCGGCGCTGTTCGACAGTGGTGAGTTCCGTCGATTGGCGGGCAGCTGGGCTACCAAGAAGGCCAACAAGGAAAAGGCGGCGCGTTTGAGCCGCAGGAATGGCCTGCTGATATGGCATGGGCTGGTGGTCACGTTGATAAATCACCTGTGGTCTGGTGGGGGCTCCAAGGCGGCGGTATGTTTGCAGGAACCCTCAAAGGCCCAGACAGGGGCTTTAGACAGACTGTGGATCGTCGTGAGGGATTTTGTGGATGACACCTCGGAGTCCAAGGAGAAGGTATTGAAGAGCCCACCATTGGGTGATTGGGCCACGAAACTTGCAGATGTTCGCATATCCTACCACGGTGAGATTGTGGAAAAGTCTCATCAGCTGACATTGGATCAGGTGAAACCGGGCCTCCCACCGTCAGGGTATGGTGCTAGTGTGCCGTTGGTGGAGCTGTGCGACGGAGAGCTACAGGAAAAGCTGATGAAACCCCTGGCAAACCTCCTGCCAGAGGACGAGCTGCCGGCAGATATACCAAAGCCAAAAGTTCATGCGAACCAAGAGCAATGGAATCTCATTGCCCGGGACCTTTATGAAAGAGGGCTAGTTGAGCCCGTCGAAGACCCCCTGATGGTGAAGGGTAAGGTTGTGACAAATGGAGCATTTGGAGTTGTGAAACCGGGTAAGTTCCTGGAAGATGAGAGGCCGATCCTGAGGCTTATAATGGACTTCAGGGCCACGAATGCAGTGTGCCGGGTGCTGACAGGTGATGTCCGAAGCCTAACAGGAGCGGCGGCTTTACAGCATGTTGTCCTCCCCGAGGGCAAGGTACTCCGGCTGAGCGCTGATGATCTGGTGGCGGCCTTTTACCTCTTTGCCCTGCCAGCGGGGTGGAGCAAGTTGATGACCTTTGCTACCAAAGTGCCCTGGAAAATCCTCGGAATTGAAAAAGAGGGGGCTGTGCACATCGGAGCCAAAGTTTTGCCGATGGGCTGGGCATCTGCGGTTGGAGTACTTCAGCACGCTCACCGGCGGCTTGCCCTGAGGTCACCGTTGGCCGGGGCAGGATTGCTGGGGAAGTGTGAAATCCGCCGAGATGCTGTTTTCCCTGACTTGGAAAAGGAGGGGTCACTTTGGTCGTTGTACCTGGATGATGCGAACCTAATGGAGGTGATGAGTCGGCGAGTGGCCGCTGAGCTGGAGGGCCTACCATCAGAAGAGCAGCAGCGTTTGAGGCGCGCATACCAGCATTGGGGGATCCCGATTTCACTGGACAAGGCAGTGGTCAGGGCTCCGAGCGCAGAAAAGCTTGGGGCAGTCATTGATGGTGAAGGCGGAGTGCTCAAGACCTCGACAAAAAGGGCTCTGGAAAGCCTCTCGTTGGGCTTTTGGCTGATGAGGCAGGATGAGGTACCGAGGAAGGCACTCCAGGTCTTTTTGGGGCGTGAGGTGCACACGCTCCAATTCAGGCGGCCACTTTTCGGGATCCTGGATTACGTCTGGAAGGATATCAGTGAAGGTGGGGTCCTGACCCAGCTGGGGTCGAAGTCCATTGAGGAAATCTTGATGTGTGGCATGTCCCAGCCCTTGCGTGCCACTGACCTGAGGGCAAAGCTGCATGAGGTAGTGACCGCTTCTGACGCCAGTGAGTCAGGCGGTGGCATGGTGTATGGCAGCAAGTTGACCACTGAAGGCCTGAAGGAGCTGCAGGCTCTGGAATACGGAATGGATGAACCAATCGCTGAAAAGGTCAGCCTTGATGAAAAACATAGTCATCCTGGTCCTGGATTTCTGAATCGCTGGAATCGGGGGCCTTTCAAGAGCCCTGCAGTTAGCCCAAGTTGAAGTCCAAAGGCCGGTGGTGATAGAACAAGACGTCGAATGTCGTCGCCTGAATGCTGGCCGTTGGCCGGGCTGTGATTTGGTGGTGGACATTAAGAAACTGAAGAGGAAGGAGCTGGAACGGGTTTTACGTAGCGTGCCGGGGCTGACAGGTGTGATTGCAGGAGGTGGATCTCCATGCCAAGGACTCTCGAAGTTGTCAGCAAATCGAGCACACCTTGAAGACCCCCGCTCGGCGTTGTTCTACAACTTTAGCGAGCTCTTGGGAATTGTGGAGGAAATCTGTGAGGAGATGAAGGTCTGGTGTTTGGCCATGCTTGAAAATGTGATCGGGGATGAAGCGGACATCCTTGAAATGAGCAAGGAACTGGGTGCTCCTCCCGTTATGGCGTGCGCCAGCTCCCTCTCTAGGGTGAGGCGCCCAAGGCTGTATTGGTCAAATGTATCATTGGAGGATCATCCCAGTTATACCTGGGCTCAGCACAAGATGTACGCTGAGGTGATCTTTGAAGAAGAGGTAGAGCCGCTTGAGAAGATCGCCGACCCGGGTTGGAGATGGCCAGGTGGGGAAGAAGACCCAGAGCGGAAGCTGCCCACCTTTACTCGTGCAATTCCAAGGAAGAGGCCGCCAGTCGCACCTGCGGGGCTAGAGCAGTGTGATGAAGCCACCAGGTCGCGATGGGTCAATGACGAGATGAAGTACCCACCATACACCTATCAGGAGAAATTCTTGTTTGAAAAGAAGGATGACCCAACACAACGCAGGGTCGCTTCAGTGACAGAGCGAGAAAGACTGATGGGGTTCCCTACCAACTACGCGAGGGCCATGTTTAAAAGGGAGCCCCAGGATGAGACAGAAGAGGGTGAGCAGACCATCAAAAGGGAAGCTGCTCTTGGCAACAGCTTCCATGCAGTGGTGGTGGCATGCCTCATGGATCTCTGGTTGTGGTCGAAGGGGATCAGAACGGATCCTCTTGGGGCCCAGGAGATAGTCCATAGGTGGCACGAAGAAATGGATGGGCCTGAGCTGAATGACTGGGGCCCGGCTGTGGCCAGCAACACTGCTGCTCAAAAGCCTCAAGCCCGTGAGCTGGAGGAGGAAGAAGCCCTTATGTCTGTGGAAGCAGAACCAAAGCGGGCGGAGTGGCTGCGCCTCGCTGGGCATCATGGGATTGGAAGTAAGGAGGTCAACCCCCTCAATGTGCGCATGGTCCATCATTTTCTGCGTCGTTCAGAATTCCGAGGATCAGATGTCAGGCTTGATCTGGGGATTGTCTGGCGGCCTGACGCAGTGGCTCGCACATCCATCAACCCAGAACGATGGGTCTGGAATGTTGGTCAGGCTTACAGGTGGCTGCGCCGGGAGCACATCAACCTATTGGAGCTTCGTGCCATCCTGCGCACACTGCAATGGAGAGCGCGCTCAGGCTCTTTTCACAGTTGCAGGTTTCTGCATTTGTCAGATTCCCAGATATGCCTGGCCGTCCTGACAAAGGGACGCAGCAGCAGCCGCAAGATAAACAGGATCCTCAGAAAAATTGCCTCTCTGTGTTTGGCCTTGAATCTCTACCCGCTCTATGCGTGGGTACAAAGCCGGTTAAATCCGGCTGACGCCCCTTCAAGGAAATATGCCGTTGACAATCAGATGTAGAGAAACCAAGGCTGAACGTAAAGCAGAGAGGCAGAAAATTGGCAAACTTGAGGATCAACGAATTTCGCCGAGCACTACAGCTCGGTATCAACACGCTCTAGATGAGCTGTGTAAATTCAACAAAGCAACTCAGTCGGCCCTCCTAAGGAGAGCCGATCTTGGCGACATTTTGTGCGCCTACATAGAGAAACTCTGGGAAGATGGAGAAACCAAGTCGCTGGGAAGCTACACTATGGCGGCAGTCCAATTCTTCCGGCCGGAGTTAAAGGGCCAATTGAGCAAGCCATGGAAGTTGATGGCCCTTTGGGGGAGGCTTGAACAACCTCGCAGAGCCACTCCTTTGGACACTTCCTTGGTCCTTGCCTTCGCGGGTACTTTTATCAAGTGGCAATGGCCACGTCTGGCCTGTCTCACCATTGTGGGCTTCTGCGGCCTTTTGAGAACGGGGGAGATGTTTCAACTTTTGCGCTCCAGTGTGGTCATGCCACGCAAGTTGGGGCAACCTGCAATTCTCTTCCTGTTCAACACCAAGACAACCAAACGCAATCTCCTTGAGGCCGAAAAAGTCATTATCAGTGAGAGAACTGGCATTGACGCCTTGCGTTACCTTTGTCAAGGTAAACGCCAGGATGAACCGCTGGTAGAAACTAGCAGTTCAAAATTTCGTGACCTTTGGAAAGATGTGGTGCAAGAGCTGCAACTCACACAGTTTCACTACTTGCCTTATTCCTTGAGGCGAGGCGGGGCTACGTGCGCCTACAGAGAAGGGATGTCCTTTGACCTTCTGATGGCAAAAGGCCGTTGGAGGAACATTTCTACGGCAAGGGGCTATTTAGACCAGGCTTTACAAGAATATGCGGCCTTGCAGTTGCCACCTCCCTCTTTGTCCAAAATTCGCGCTGCCAAAAATGTCTTTAAGGCAGCCAAGTTGGGGCGCGTGGAGGGGGAGGTTTGAGGTGGCCTGTTTTTAGCCCTTGCTGGCCGTCCCTCAAGCTTGAGTGGCTACGGCTTTAGCCTAATTAGACAGGAGGCACCTTGACCCAGGCACAAAAGGTGCGCTCTTTGTGGTCAAGGAAGGGGGGAAGGGAGCGTAGTGCATGTATACTCCAAAAGGGAGAGGTATGCACGAGCGCCTGACACCCTGAAGTTCTGGCTCCCTCCTCCATCCCCGGACTCCTCCTTTTTGAGGTGGCCTGTTTTTAGCCCTTGCTGGCCGTCCCTCAAGCTTGAATGGCTACGGCTTTAGCCTAATTAGACAGGAGGCACCTTGACCCAGGCACAAAAGGTGCGCTCTTTGTGGTCAAGGAAGGGGGGAAGGGAGCGTAGTGCATGTATACTCCAAAAGGGAGAGGTATGCACGAGCGCCTGACACCGAGACAGGTGGGGATAAGCCGGGGAACGTGGGTGAGGACTGCGTGGAAGCAAGGGAGTAAATGCCCTTCCAATAAAACCTCACTTTACCGGCTCTTCACTTTGTTCATCCCGCGGTTCTTTCTACCGGTGTCTCATTCCTTCCCACTCCACTCGGTTCCCCTTGTCGGTTCGGCACGTGAAGGGAAGAGAAAGATTAAAACTGAACCGACGAAGGGAAAGGGGAACCGCTGGTTACGCCTGACAGCCGGCCACCAGTCAACACGGGAGGGACGGGGATGGAAAAGGAGAGGGTGTCTTTGTTGGGGCCACGTGGGGCCTCATTAGGGCTTGTTGAGATCATTTTGGGTCAATTTGCGAACATATTGGGGCCCCAGTCTTCTAGTGGATTTGGTGTTTATACAAATGCTTTCCGGCTCGTGGATTTATCAGTTTTTTTTTTGCTCGCCCGCTGCGTTATTTGCCTTCATCGATTTCCTTCGCGCTTCACTGTCCGGGCCCCAAAAGTGTAGAGAAGAGCCAAAATCATACTACCAGATACTACCAGTGTATTAGCAGATATGTGCAGTGCAGTGTAGGTGTCATTCCAAATGTTTGACTGAGTGTGCCCTAGTTTGCGCTGACTCTCATGCCGAATTTGACATAACACAGGCTCAACATTCAACCTTGGCAGGTAGCCTTAGGCAGGTAGTCGGCAACGCTTTCAAAACTTGCAAGCGCTGGTAGGCTGAGATGCACTTCCCTCGTTGCCTTTGCTTCTGGTTGCTTTGCAATTCCTGGTGTGGATTGGCAGTTTTGAATGAAGACAGGCAGCTCAGTGAAAGAGGACGTGACGGGGACAATGCGACCTCAGTCAACGTTTCAAGTGCAGAGACTGGCCAAAAGGATGATAAGAAACACGACATGGAAATTGAGACGCAGCTGAACAACTTCATGCAGCCACACTCGTTGCAACCTTTCTACTTCATTCCAATCAGTAGCTGCGTCATCGTCGTGTTGCAGTTCTCCATCTTCGGTTTCTCTATAAAGTTCAAACCCGCTGAAGCGGAGTGTTGCATCTACAAGAAGTGTGTCAACCGCCTGAAGTCCCTTGCAAAGGAATTAGGCACGATAGCTTTCATCTTACTGGCTTTAGTCACTTGGAGACATGATGTTCTCAAGTGGAAAGCGATGCCTGCTGAAGACCAACTGGAGACATTCTGCTACTTCTTGGTGGTCTTGGTGACCTCCCCCAACACCAAAGCAGCACTGGCACATTTTGCGATCTTGCGCGTCCAGTCACCTACAGCTGTATTTGGGGTCAATCCCAAGTACAGAAGCCTGCCAGGTTGCGGCATACCTGTCTTCCCCTGCACAGCCAGCTGGATGACACCATTGCAGTGGTTGTACACGATGATTCTGTTGCCCTATGAAATACTTTGGATGATTCATTCGTGGTTCACGCGAATGCTTCCGGACTGTTGCACCCCCGGACTCTTGCCAGTTATAGGCGCCGCGGTCAAGCCCGTGGGAACATGGTTTCTGTGCGTGGGACCAATTTTCATCTTTCCATTTTGGCTCTTGCTCGTCGCGATGAGCCTGGGGCTTTGGAGTTATGCCCGTAGCAAGCTGATTTGGTGGTGGGGGATGAGTTGGCCATTTTGGGCCATGATTCTACTGCAGTTCTGGGCTGTGTTCGTGTGCATTTTGTTTGCAATCATCTACCTAGTGTACGTGATTTTGACAGGAGGGGTGCAACCGATACACTCAACCAAGAAGAACGCAAAAGATTTACAGGTGGAACAGCAAGCCCTCTGGAATCTACAGCCTCAGGCGGTCCAAGAGGATTTTTTCCTACCAGTTGGACAGAGTGGAGTTGAGACCCAGCAGGGCGAGGCACATGCTTTGGAAGCGCAGCTATCTGTTGCAGAAGACGCACATGCACTAGAAGAACAGCAGATTGTCCCAGACTTGACGACGCTTACAGCAGGTTTGAAGTGTCAGATTGTGTCCGCGGCACTTGCTATCCAGGCCAATTACGCTGTCTTGCAGCTTTTTGTCATTGTCTTCTGCCGACTTCTTCTACACAGTGATTCTGAGAAGAATGCGGTCAATGCCTACAAGACCACGATATCAGAGCGTCACATTGCAACCTACATGGACTACCTCAACAGCTTGGTCACACAGGCCGATGCTGCTGTTGGGTTCAGCGCCCTTGTGCGCCTCTGGTGCCGCCAAGCATATGCTGCCTGGAACGTCCTTTGAAGCTTCGGCGCAGTTTCCATCAGGTCTCCGGAACAGGTTGATGAGCAGCTTCAGGTGCCCAAGTTTTTCCATGAACAGAAGACGTTCATTTTTTGGGCATGCCGTTGTGTGAAGCATCCCCCGTGTCGTCCCGCAATTGCTGGGCGGACAAATGGGAACTTCACAGTATGGTGAACGGCAGACACTTTTTTTAAGGCTTGCATGCAACCATTATGGAAGGCCCACAAGAGGCTTGCCATTTGCACGCATCAGTTTTCCTTGCAGTAGACGACCTTACTTCTGCAGTTTAGTTGGTAACTTCCTATGGCCTTGATGGCTGATGGAGAAAAAGAGCAGCACTGTGCGCATCTTATGCATGTGCTTTTGAAGTTTGCTTTGACGGTGGGAAGCAAAGTTCATAGTCATAATAGTCAGCATTTGCTTTGAACAAAGCCTGTGATTGAACCACCCTCTTGTGTTGTGTAGCTATTTTAGCACTGAGTTCGTTTCCTTCCCTTTCGCAAGCTACTCGCTCCACGCCAAGGTTATGAAGTCATCACAAGTTTCAAGGTGCATTCCAAGCATCGGCCAAAAGAAAGGATCCGGTTAAAGCAATCCTTGAAAGAATGACCATACCAAAAAGTCTTCAAGACATGATTTTCAGATTTCGGATTTCAGCCTTTTCTTGTGGGGGGAATCCCAACCCCTCGAGGTATATCATATAATTTCGTTCATATCCGACACACACACACAAACACACACGCACACATTCAATCACATTCATATATACACTGTATATATATATATATACACATACACATTTATTACCTTTTTTTTATGCCACTTCGTTCATCCTGATGTGTCAGGTGTTTCGTTCGCACTGGCTGTTGCATCGGTGATGTACTAAAGCCAGTGTCCATCTACCATCTCAAAATTATTTGCCAGTTGCACACCAGAAGCTTGAACATTTCTTGTTCTCCTCCTGGCGAAGGCCAATTTCAGAAGTGAGACTCGCGTGTTCTTATATTTCTGTTGCCCATGATATGGTTCTGACGATCAAGTCGTGTCTTGAAATAGAAACAAAACATCAGATTCCAGTGCCTGGTAAAAGGTACTGCTTTGCGAGAACCGAAAGGTCATTTTCATTTGCATATGGTACAACTCTGGTCTATTTATCTAAAACGGTTTGGAGATCTTTGACTACTGGTACAACAAAATTTGTCGAGTGGAAGCTCCAGCCTTCGCATTTTCCAGCTAAAGCGGGAAGATGCCTTGTGCTTGGAGCAAGATACAGGATGATTAAAAAAAAGTAGAGTGTGTTGGAAAGTGTCGGCTTTCTCATTGTCGAACAGGGATCATTAGGTACTCTGATGATGAAACCAGCGTAGATTTTCATTCTCCGTTCAAGAATTGCACAAGCACATAGATTGTACTATACTATGCATTCGAGTCGACTTGCATATTCTCTCCATTCGGAAATTGTTTAGAATAGACAGACAGGAATTACTTTGTGAGTAGATCATATCTGCACACTGCAAATGACGGGCAAATGACCAGAACGCAATTTTGCAGCCACACAAATACCGACACCATGAACTCTGACAAATTCTGGCAAATCTGAGAGGATCTGACAAGATCTGACAACATTTTCTGGCGGGGTCAGTTTCCACCAACGCAAGGCTGAGCCTGACGACCAGGTGAAGCGACAGACCATGATGATGCAGGTGACGCTATTTGATACTTGAGATGTGTTTTATTTTTGTATGGGCACCGCAAGCCTTCTATTGCTCATCCTCCTTGCGCTAAGAATAAATCAAAGAGTCTTTATTTCGCAATTCTCCAATCCACTTTGATCAGTGAAGCATGTCAGATTGTGCCATTCCGTGCAGGAGCTTTTCTCCCCTTGGCCAAGAACGTGGTAGGTGATAGCTGGAAGGACCACGGCTGTACGGATCTGCTTCGAATTTTCAAAGCTAGGTCTGAAGAGATGTGAGACTGACATTCAATCCTGAGCACTAGCATGTACACTAGCATGTAGCAACATGTAGCAACATGTGGGTATGGATCAATACCTATTAATACCATTTTTAGTGGGATGAACATCCATTTACCAGCTATTTTGATGTTCACCAGGGGTACAAGGTTTTGACACACTGCCATGTAGCAACATGTAGCAACATGTAGCAACGTAGCAGCCAACTCTACTGCCTCTGCAGGATTGGGGAGTCACAGAAGAGAATGCGATGGCTGTGATGATGCAGGCTGCGAGCACTAGAGTCACTAGAGCACTAACTGAAGAATCTTTGTGACGGTTGCTGTATTTGAAAGAAGTATATATTTGAAAGAAGTATATAAATATGATAAGCATTGACAAGCCATAATGATAGAAGCAGTACAAGCAAAGGCTATTGTTTCAGTCTTTCACCAGCGATGTGTCGGAGAATTTGAAGGCCAGTACAGCATGTTGTTTCAGAATGTCCTAGACTTTAAAGTGAATACAACGAACATCACCGGAGGCTTGAGCTTCCCCACTCCACCATGACAGCATTCTTTGGCGAGGTGCAGATGATGGCCATGATGAGCCCGGAATTGCAGCCCAAAGCGGCCAAGGCCTGTGAGTTCGGAATCGGAATGTGCAGTCTTTGTTGTGTGAGTCTTCGCTTCCTCGGCCAACTATGCTATGGAACAAGGTGCAGTGTGTCAGTGTGCCTGTCACTGTGTCCATTGCAGAGGTGATGAACTTCTTCCAGGGGCAGGTAGGTGCATGAGCGCATCAAATTTTCGTCAGTGGAACGAAGAATTTCACCACCTGACAAGCACAAAGACCCCCAAGTGCCACAAAGCGAATCCTGTCACAAAAGTGCGCCGGGATATCATGTCAACAAGGGATTCACCCCGCAACATGTGAGATCTGGGAGCGCACTACTTGGTTGCTAATAGCTGCATTTGTGAAGCCTAGTAGCATGATGTTTCCTTTATTTTTCCTTTATTTGCAGCTTGTGGGCACCATGGTGAGGATTCCTCAAACATTTTAGCAAGTGCCTATGATGGGATGAAAAATGCATAGATGGCATAGATGTTTCATAATGACTTGGGCACAGCGTTGACCTCAAGCTAAATGCAAGCTTGTGGCTCCAGGTGAGAAATTGATTCAACAGAGACCTTCACCCATGAGCGATTCATGTCCTTCCTCCATGATCCGAGCATGATTGCTCAACAAGAATGAACGGTGAGCAGATTGAATGAGGTACCCTGGGTTGGCTCTAGACATCTCTAGAGATGTTGGAATACTTTGATCATCTTTGATCTGATCATTAGTCTACCATGCAATTTCACAGACTCCATCAGATGCCCTGATAAGTTAAATCATAATCCTTTCAGAGTGCCCTCATCGCTGCCATGTTGGCCGCATTTGGTGCGGGCTCTCATGGCCGTTGTCAGAAGCTGACACGCTCTGCAATAGCAAGACATGTGACTTGCTCAGACATTTTCCGGACACATACTGACTTGTCGTTTTGTATGTGGCTGCCATCTGGATTGTGGCGTCTAAACCTAGATTCTTAGAGGCGCTTCAGCCCTGCAACGGAATTTTAAGTCCCTTCTTCTAGGCAGAATCTCATAGAGAGGTATCATGAAGGCATTTAAGGCAAAGACTTAGGGACTTGCACGTATGCCAAGTCTACATTGTGAAAAAAGAGCATGGCAGACATTGGTAGACGGTCAAGCAGTCAAGCGGTGTTTGTCGGCTTCGCCCAGGATATTCGGCCAGCGCAGCCGGAGTTTTCGCTGCCAGTTCTGCCAGCACTTGGAGTCACTTTGCAGGCTGCTGGTGTGGCAGTGTAGTGCAATGCAGTGCATAGGGTTGCAGGATTTTCCAGGAGTTTCCAATACCGTCAATAACCTGCACCTGCTGATGGTTGCCAGCCCTTATATAAAATATAAAGATTATTAAAGATCTTTAACTCAATACGAAGGAAGTCACCACAAACGTATCGGGCGCTTCAGTGCTTCCCCATTTTAGGCAGTGCGAAAGGCTCGCAAAGCAGCAAGAAGGACGGCAATGCGTAGTGAAAAGACGCTGCGAGAGCAGGCAAGGATTGGCGATTGACCTGGGGCTGAGGGAACGAGCATCCATAAGCAAAGGCTGTTTTGGTGTTCACCAGGGGGCTTTGACCCATACGGAAGTAGTTTCTGAAAGTATCAAAAGCATAGCTCGTGGTGGACACATATGGCTGCACTTTTGTTCCTCGTGGCTGCTGGAGAGTTCCTAGGCTGAGCAAATAGCCAGCGACAGAGCTGCTCTGCGCATGGGACCAGGAGGCTTAGAGAGTGTGGTTCCGCAGGCTGGGAAAGGGGAAACGGAATTGGAAACAAAGACGACCCAAGATTCAGGCACTTTTACAATTGAACAGTTTTATTGCATGTTGCCTCAATTTAAGTTGAACCGATCCTACTGAGGTTTGAACGGGCTTTAATTTGTTGGTTGTATTTAAGATGGATATATATACTCCAGCCCTCTCGAATGTGAATTCAAACCAACGCTGACATTGAAGCAATCGGCCTCTTCACAGCTGAAGGCTGAACGGGAGCAGCTTGCTCAACAAGCAGATACTCTTTCGCCCTTCAGGCAGCGCAAAGAGCAGTTTGAGTTTGGCTCGTCATCGCTATTTGTACTCACTAACCTACAATTGGAAGGCGCTTGTAGGAAGGAAAAAAGGGCAGTAGGCGCGAGTCAATTGAAGTCAACCTCAGGAGTGCCTTTTGGCTGTCTGTGCAGGAAAGGCGTCATCTTTGCTGCATTTCTCCTCCTTTTCGGTGGCTTTCAAGATGGGTTCCTAAGATGAATCCGGAGATCTGTCTTTTGTGAGGACGAATGACTGAAACACATGGTATTATGCGGTGGTTTGACAGTTCCATGTTTTTGCAAGAACCTTGAAGAAAGCGCAGTTGGCGAAGACGTTGTGACAAACAAAAATCTGTCAATGCTTGAATTTGGACTGACGATAGGATGGCACCATTGGTGTTTCTACCGAGGTTCTGGCTTGTGGTTCAACCCAAGCTGACGTCTCTTGGGCTTTTGCAGGTTGTTCGCACTGAAGAATCTCAGAGCTCCTCCATTCTGCTGGTCATTCTCATCCTGGCTGTTGGAGCAGGTACCGGAATTTCAATTGACTCCCATTCCCATGCTTGGCAAATCTTGGCAAGACTCGAGTTGCTCCCAAGTCCTTGCGCTCCGCATGAGTTTGCTGCATTGTGATGCTTTGCTTCTAGGCCTACTGTATGTCGGAACGGTTCTCTTGAAGCCGGCACCCTTGCCATCCTTGGAAGATGTGCTACAAGAGGAAGAGACACGAGAGGAGGCCTTGTGTTTCATAGAAATTGCACATTTCACCGCCAGTTGTTGGCTCTTGCATTGTGCAATGGGTCAAAGACGGACAAAACACAGATCAGAGGCGCAAACAATGGGGCAGCCACCAGCAATGGTTGTGGGTTCCTGGCAGGCGAGGAAAGAGCTGCAGCTCGCACGATTGTCAGGAAGGTGTCACAGTTGCAATCCAATTTTCACAAGCATGTTGTCATGTTGTCCCCAGGGCAAATCATTTCAAGTGGGTTTCAATTGGTTATTGTTTTCAACTTTTCCGGATGTCCGAAGTGAACGCAGGATGACAATAATAAAGTGAGTGACTACACGGTTTCAGGTTGCTTTTAAGGGGCCAAATGAATATATCATGAAAGCACGGGCAAATTATCATCTTTCAATGATTTTTTCAAGGTGGTACTATGGCATGAATTTGGGCCAGAGCTACGAGATTAGCAACAACCAGGGAGAGTGGTGCTTTTCAGAAGAGCTGGCTGGACGCAAATGCAGCTGCACTTTGAGAATCGTTGGCAGCTGGGTTGCTAGTCACAGGATACTGCTATTTGTCGGTAGAAGGGGCTTTATTCTTGATTCTTGATGATTCATCCCCTAGACATCTTTCACTTCTTTCTCTATCTTCCTTTGATATATATTAATATATACGTATATATATATATTCTGTAAAATACACACACACACATCTCAGTCGATATATGATATACACAAATTGCTTTGCCTTTCTGCGCCACATGCTTGTATAAATATATATGTATATATATATATATACATATATATATATATACATACCACCTAGCGATGCCTGCTCAGATCCCCAAAGAATTGTAGAAGGCCAAGAAGATGACGGTCGCACTAGGCACCCATCACACCCATCACATCTCATCGCACCCCACATCCAGCAACCGTGTGCAAATCCTGCGACTGACTGAGACACCTCCCGATTCAAAGCAAATGTATCTCAAACGCGTGCTGTGACCCCCTGGAACAGGAACGTTCTGTGGTCCAAGTCAAGTCAAACGCGGATGCTTCACGCTGTGTGCGCGACACAATCTAACCTGTACATGTTGCCTCTAACTCATGCACGCCGGCATCGCCGGCATCTTCACAATTCACTCACACGATATGTTAACTTGCCAGTTCTCTGCAAGTCTGGTCAACAGAATGCCATTGGCAAATGCCATGCAAGCGCGGAGACTTCAGTTCCAATAAGATAATGTTGGCTTGAAGCCACCTCCAGTGGTTTGCCGGGGAACGCTGCAATGGATTGCTTAGCTTGATTGGCATGCCTTTACCCCCTGTTGACATATTATTCTGATTCATGTTCCGCTTGAATCCTCAGATGTTGCCTCTTTCAAGCCATCGACAAATATCGAAATTTCATATGGATTGAAGATGATTGGAGGTTCATGGGGATCTGGTAGATGAGAAGGGCGAAGAAGTGGGGCTGATCCGGCTTCGTCGGACCACTGGCAACAGCGTCGTGTCCAATCTCAAGGTCCCGGGCTCAACGACTTGGGGAAATCCCAATGAAGCCATTGGGTGGTGACGAGATCAGTGGCATCCTGGTGCTCCTACATTCCATCCAGAAGAGAGTCCTTCAGTTGAACCCCCAAATCTTTCACACTCAAAGCTCCTTTCAGATGGTTTTTGTTTCCAGTTGGAACAAAAGCCAGGAGTGTGCATGTCAGAATCGTTTTCCAGCACCCGCCAAGTAGTCGCTAGGTCACTAGGTTGAGTTGGTCCACGACACTCTCCATTTTCCAGGGGCAGTTCATCTGAGTTGCTAAACCAGAGATGAACTGCCTCATTTTTCTTCGGAGTAAATGGACTGAAGCAGCATGTTCACTTGAGTCAAGTTGAGCTTCAAGGCGCAGGCAGGCTGTAGCCTCGTGCAAAAATTAGCTGAAGCTGTGGCAATCCTGATCAGAATTACGTGAGTTCTCAAAAAGGAATGACGATTATTAACAATTTATGAATATTTCTTGACTCAAGTTGGAATGCAACATCGAAGCTGCTGAAAGACAACCCTCAAAGGGGGCAGCACTCAAGCGCAAGTAGTTCACACGAACAAAAGCTCTTCGTGCAGAGGAGAACATCCTCAGCCCAAACACGGTGGGACGCACACGTGAAAATAGAGGGGCATGCGCTTGGCCTGCAGTAAATGTCCAACGGCTTGATTGTGGCAGCATGTTTTGTTTCTTTTTGTCCGAAACACCTTCCATGTACCGTGGTGAGGTATCTACTGTATGCGGTTGGTTAGCACTGCCATCATGTGCTGGCTCGGTCTTGTACCCGCAGAATTTGTATGCATAGAACTCTCACAGACCAGACTAACGTAGATTCCCAGTGTGCAGTGTTTGCAGCAGTGCCACAACAAGCAGGTAGATCGTGAATTGCTTGGCCCAACAGCCCGACATTGCCAGGATTCTGGCCAAGCATTGTCAATGCAGAACCGATTTTATGGTGTGAGTTGTGAGTAGTACTCACTCTCAGTTGCAAAGCTTGTACAGACCGCAGAGCGAAGGCTTCACACCCAAACTGACACCTATAGAATGCCCTGCAAAGCTTGTACAGACCGCAGAGCGAAGGCTTCACACCCAAACTGCCACCTATAAAATGCCCTGCAAAGCTTGTACAGACCGCAGAGCGAAGGCTTCACACCCAAACTGCCACCTATGAAATTCCCTGCAAAGCTTGTGCAGACCACAGAGCGAAGGCTTCACACCCAAACTGACACCTATAAAATGCCCTGCAAAGCTTGTACAGACCGCAGAGCGAAGGCTTCACACCGAGCGAAGGCTTCACACCCAAACTGCCGCCTATAAAATGCTTTGCAAAGCTTGTACAGACCGCAGAGCGAAGGCTTCACACCCAAACTGACACCTAAAAGCCTATAAAATGTCCTGCAAAGCTTGTGCAGACCGCAGAGCGAAGGCTTCACACCCAAACTGCCACCTATAAAAAGCGAAGGCTTCACACCCAAACTGACACCTATAAAATGCACTGCAAAGCTTGTGCAGATTTTAGAGCGAAGGCTTCACACCCAAACTGCCACCTATAAAATGCCCTGCAAAGCTTGTGCAGATTTCAGAGCGAAGGCTTCACACCCAAACTGACACCTATAAAATGCCCTGCAAAGCTTGTGCAGATTTCAGAGCAGAGGCTTCACACCCAAACTGCCACCTGTAAAATGCAGTGCAAAGCTTGTACAGACCGCAGAGCGAAGGCTTCACACCCAAACTGACACCTATAAAACGCCCTGCAAAGCTTGTGCAGCTTTCAGACCTATAAAATGCCCTGCAAAGCTTGTACAGACTGCAGAGCGAAGGCTTCACACCCAAACTGACACCTATAAAATGCCCTGCAAAGCTTGTGCAGATTTCAGAGCGAAGGCTTCACACCCAAACTGCCACCTATAAAAAGCCTTGCAAAGCTTGTACAGACCGCAGAGCGAAGGCTTCACACCCAAACTGCCACCTATAAAATGCCCTGCAAAGCTTGTGCAGATTTCAGAGCAAAGGCTTCACACGCAAACTGCCACCTATAAAATGCCATGCAAAGCTTGTACAGACCGCAGAGCGACGGCTTCACACCCAAACTGACACCTATAAAATGCCCTGCAAAGCTTGTACAGACTGCAGAGCGAAGGCTTCACACCCAAACTGACACCTATAAAATGCCCTGCAAAGCTTGTACAGACCGCAGAGCGAAGGCTTCACACCCAAACTGACACCTATAGAATGCCCTGCAAAGCTTGTACAGACCGCAGAGCGAAGGCTTCACACCCAAACTGCCACCTATAAAATGCCCTGCAAAGCTTGTACAGACCGCAGAGCGAAGGCTTCACACCCAAACTGCCACCTATGAAATTCCCTGCAAAGCTTGTGCAGATTTCAGAGCGAAGGCTTCACACCCAAACTGACACCTATAAAATGCCTTGCAAAGCTTGTACAGACCGCAGAGCGAAGGCTTCACACCCAAACTGCCGCTATAAAATGCTTTGCGAAGCTTGTACAGACTGCAGAGCGGAGGCTTCACACCCAAACTGACACTTGTAAAATGCCCTGCAAAGCTTGTGCAGATTTCAGAGCGAAGGCTTCACACCCAAACTGACACCTATAAAATGCCTTGCAAAGCTTGTACAGACCGCAGAGCGAAGGCTTCACACCCAAACTGCCGCTATAAAATGCATTGCAAAGCTTGTACAGACCGCAAAGCGAAGGCTTCACACCCAAACTGACACCTATAAAACGCCGTGCAAAGTTTGTGCAGATTTCAGAGCGAAGGCTTCACACCCAATATGAAATGCCCTGCAAAGCTTGTACAGACCGAAGAGCGAAGGCTTCACACCCAAACTGCCGCCTATAAAATGCTTTGCAAAGCTTGTACAGACCGCAGAGCGAAGGCTTCACACCCAAACTGACACCTATAAAATGCCCTGCAAAGCTTGTGCAGATTTCAGAGCGAAGGCTTCACACCCAAACTGCGACCTATAAAATGCATTGCAAACCTCGTACAGACCGCAAAGCGAAGGCTTCACACCCAAACTGCCGCCTATAAAATGCTTTGCAAAGCTTGTACAGACCGAAGAGCGAAGTCTTCACACCAAACTGCCACCTATAAAATGCACTGCAATGCTTGTAAAGTCGAAGAGCGAAAACTTCACACCCAAACTGCCGCACTGCCGCCTATAAAATGCCTTGCAAAGCTTGTACAGACCGCAGAGCGAAGGCTTCACACCCAAACTGCCACCTATAAAATGCAAAGCTTGTACAGACCGAAGAGCGAAGGCTTCACACCCAAACTGCCGGGATGATATTGGAAAAAAATCTAAGACCCTGGAACAAAAATATAAATTTACTGGAAACACAATTTCAGGTTCCCCTCATCCTTTGGTCCCCTGGTCCTCTGGTCCTTTGGTCCCCTGGTCCTCTGGTCCCCTGGTCCTCTGGTCCCCTGGTCCTCTGGTCCCCTGGTCCTTTGGTCCCTTGGTCCCCTGGTCCCTTGGTACTCTGGTCCCTGGGTCCTCTTGATCCCCTGGTCCCTTACCCTCCTCATCCTGGTCCTTTACCCTTCTCATCCTTTGATCTCCCAAGTACACTCTGCCCAACCTGAAATAGATCCAAAACTAACTCTAGACAATATGCTGCAAATAACATGAAATGCTGCAGATAACCCCCTGCGTAATACAGATGCTGGCTCCAAGATGCTGCGAGCACGGTGCAAACAAGGGATTCAAGGCCAAAACACTTTAAATACCATGCAAATTGCATAATTAAGTTCCAAAACCCTGCAAATATTCTAAAAATAAGAGATTTCAGCTGCATAAAACTGAATTATTCAAGGCCAGAACTCTTTAAATATCATGCAATTGCATGTTTAAGTGCCCAAACCCTGCACATATTGTACAAATAAGAGATTTCAGTTGCAAAAAGGTTCAAAGTACAGATTCTTAAGTTTTTCTTTCCAGTGTCTTAAGTTTTTTTTCCAGTGTGGAGAGTAGGGGTGAGCGTTAATTTTTTTCCAGTAGTCAAAAGTTTTTTTTCTTCCCAGCGTCTACCCGGTGCAAACTGCCACCTAAAAAATACAATGCAAACCTTGTACAGACCGAAGAGCGAAGGCTTCACACCCAAACTGCCACCTATAAAATGCATTGCAAAGCTCGTACAGACCGCAAAGCGAAGGCTTCACACCCAAACTGCCGCCTATAAAATGCTTTGCAAAGCTTGTACAGACCGAAGAGCGAAGGCTTCACACCAAACTGCCACCTATAAAATACCCTGCAAAGCTTGTAAAGTCGAAGCGCGAAAACTTCACACCCAAACTGCCGCACTGCCGCCTATAAAATGCCTTGCAAAGCTTGTACAGACCGCAGAGCGAAGGCTTCACACCCAAACTGCCACCTATAAAATGCCCTGCAAAGCTTGTACAGACCGAAGAGCGAAGGCTTCACACCCAAACTGCCGGGATGATATTGGAAAAAAATCTAAGACCCTGGAACAAAAATATAAATTTACTGGAAACACAATTTCAGGTTCCCCTCATCCTTTGGTCCCCTGGTCCTCTGGTCCTTTGGTCCCCTGGTCCTCTGGTCCCCTGGTCCTCTGGTCCCCTGGTCCTTTGGTCCCTTGGTCCCCTGGTCCCTTGGTACCCTGGTCCCTGGGTCCTCTTGATCCCCTGGTCCCTTACCCTCCTCATCCTGGTCCTTTACCCTTCTCATCCTTTGATCTCCCAAGTACACTCTAACCAACCTGAAATAGATCCAAAACTAACTCTAGACAATATGCTGCAAATAACATAAAATGCTGCAGATAACCCCCTGTGTAATACAGATGCTGGCCCCAAGATGCTGCGAGCACGGTGCAAACAAGGGATTCAAGGCCAAAACACTTTAAATACCATGCAAATTGCATAATTAAGTTCCAAAACCCTGCAAATATTCTAAAAATAAGAGATTTCAGCTGCATAAAACTGAATTATTCAAGGCCAGAACTCTTTAAATATCATGCAATTGCATGTTTAAGTGCCCAAACCCTGCACATATTGTACAAATAAGAGATTTCAGTTGCAAAAAGGTTCAAAGTACAGATTCTTAAGTTTTTCTTTCCAGTGTCTTAAGTTTTTTTTTTCCCAGTGTGGAGAGTAGGGGTGAGCGTTAATTTTTTCCAGTAGTCAAAAGTTTTTTTTCTTCCCAGCGTCTACCCGGTGCAAACTGCCACCTAAAAAATACAATGCAAACCTTGTACAGACCGAAGAGCGAAGGCTTCACACCCAAATTGCCACCTATAAAATGCCCTGCAAAGCTTAGACAGACCGCAGAGCGAAGGCTTCACACCCAAACTGCCACGTATAAAATGTCCTGCAAAACTTTTATAGATTTGGATTTAGCCGCAATACAACATATTTTGGCACGA